GCTGTCTCTTATACACATCTAGATGTGTATAAGAGACAGACTCCACACACACACACACACCCCCAAAAAAAAAGAAAAAAAGAAAAAAGCACACGGCTTTTGACCATTATTTAATGATTATTATAATATGATGAGTCAGTGAAACTCCGTCGAAACAGTTTGTCACAGCCCCCTCCCTCCCTCTCTGCTTACGGTTTACCGTAGGCACCTCTGTTTTACTATATATTATGCTCTATCACATTTTCCTTCTTCTCTTTCCTTTCCTTTTCCTTTCTAGTACCTTTCCTGCGTGGGAAAATAGGGAAAACTGGCAGTTTTCCCAAACGCCTGAATCTTCGGAGGTCGGGTCCGACGACGACTGCCTTTGATAAATCCGATCGGCGGCCGTCATGTCGTTTCGGCCTGTGGAAAGGTCGGATGCCTACCCAAGGCCCGCTATTTTCCCAGGCGGGAAAGGTACTGGTGGTTTAAAGAGGGGTAATCCCTAATATTTTCTTTTGTTCTCCATACCATTCAGCCACATGGTCGAAAGGTTGAAAGGTCGAAACTTGAAAGGTTGGTGGTAACCTTTCAATCTCAACATTATCTTATTACCTGATTCCATCAGGTCTCGAACTCATGATCTGTTTACAAAACACTTTTACACCCAATTTTACAGCCTTGCAGGTGCATAGTAGCATATACCATTCACCTACATGGGGTGGGGGGGTTTTGGCAATTATCACCGACAGCGCTGTCACGAAATAGGTGGTGGTGTTGTCCTCCTCCCCTCTATTGAGGTCAGTTCGCAGCCGTCTCCTCATGGGGTGGCCCGACTGAAAAAGACTGTGCATGGGGGTCACACGCATAAATCGTCTTTTTTTTTTCTTTTTTTTTTTTCCCTCCCTCTTTCATATGCATTTACCCATCTATACATGTGTCCCGCTCTCCGTTCCTACTCACAAGCTTTCACAGTCACCAGTATAAGCACACACACACCTCACATTACTGCACTACAATTGCTCCTTTTTTTCTTGCTCTTTTTTTTTCCAAGGGGGGGGATAGGGGGGGGCGAGGAGGAGAGGGGGGTGCGGGGCGCGGGATGGGTTCGGGGGGCTCATGCAAATACTTACATCTTGCAGTTTGCATGCAATCTCTTGCACATGAATCGCTTCAGGCATTTCATTTTGTCGTTCGGGTCTCCGCATTCGCCTGCACGATTGCTTTTCACATTCGGCTGGCCTTTCCCAGCGCCCTGCTTGGCCAAGAGGGGTCGTCCGCCTTCCGCTTTCAGTTTGCGCTCCTTTGCGCTTCCTGAACCTCTGTATGCACTACCACCTTTAGCACTTCCTAAACTTTTGGAAGTGTCGCCGCTTTTAGTCCTCGTCGGATTTGCGGTTGCATTTGCCGACTTCTCTTGGCTTTCGACAGAAGTCAGGAAGGCAGTGGAGGAGCTGCTCTTGGCGCTGGGGTCTTTGTTACCTCCAGCGCTCTTTCCTCTCTTTTGCCGATGGGAACGATGCTTTTGAAAGAAAGTATGTTCATCTTTGCGCCCAAGTGTAACGCCATCGGAGTCGGTGTGGCCCTCTCCAAAGCTCCTCCTTTTTGGTGCGCGTGACCCCCCGTCGTCCTCTTCCGGACTCTCCAGATCAATGAAGTCCTTGTCGTTTGACGTTGGAGACTGCTCCTCTGAGATCGTCGAAAAGAAATCAGACTCGGCCGTATTCTCTGCAGCATCATGCCACTGCCAAGGGGACAAGAAAACAGTCAGCTGCAAGGATATCCCACCCAAAGGCTAGTAAGTATTTACTATTGTGTGTTGGGGGGGAGCAGGACTCCAACCTGCAACCTGCCCAAGTTGCCAAGGGCACAAGTGGTTAACGGGGACCCCCACTTTCAGCTCCTTGGTTAACGGGTTTAAAACTGAAATTAGGGTTTGGGGGTCAAATTTTATGTTATTTATTAAATTTTATTTGTTTATTTAAATTATTTTGCTTGTTTTTGTTTTGGTTCAAGTTTGTTGCGTGCCAAATTTGGTCACGTGTGATTTCATATCAATCAACTGTGCGAGTGTGATGCTGACATTGAAAAAAAAAAAAAAAAAATCAAAAGTTGAGATAAACAATGTACAATCTCTCTCTCTCTCTCTCTCTCTCTCTCTCTCTCTCTCTCTCTCTCTCTCTCTCTCTCTCTCTCTCTCTCTACTTTGATTTTGGTTAAGGTGGATTATCACTTACAGTGTAATCAGTGAGGGGATTCTACAGACTGTTGAGGGTTCAGCCTCCTGATGAGTCGGTGAAACTCTGACGAAGCAGTTTGTCACAGCCCCTCGTTTGTTGTCCTCTTCTCCCTCTCTGCCTACGGTTTACCGGGCAGTTCTATTTGACGATATATACATATATGCATGACGATATATGTATATATATTATTAATTTATTAGTGACAATAAAAAAAGGCCTGAAAGGGTGTCCTGTCCAGATCCGACAGGTAATGGAATTGGTTGGGCTGAAAGAATTAGCCTTCAAATAATAATAATAATAATAATAATAATAATAATAATAATAATAATAATAATAAATCTAGGCAATGAAAAAAAAAGAAGAAAAAGGCACATGACACTGTTACCTTCTCTTTATCGCCGCTTTCTTCTCCACTGGTCGTATCCTTCTTAGGTTTTGCTGGGGTAGTCTGTTTTGCAGAAGTCTGTTTTGGTGGGGGGGTCTGTTTCGCTGGAGCAGTCTGTTTTGCAGGAGGGGTCTGTTTCACACGCTTGTCCCGTTGGTTCTGTTGCCTCTCGTCCTCTTTTCGACTCCTCGTGTCCCTCCTTTTATGACCCTTCGGTATCTGAGAGGTTACTTCTTGCAGGGCATCCATCACCAACTGCAAAAACTGCCAGCACCAGTTTCACATAGAAACAAAAAGTAAAAATGTTTGAATGGGCCCTTAGGGACAAATTCGAACGTCGCAAAGAAAAATAACATTAAAACAAAAAAAATTTAAATGACTTTTTTAAATAGAAAAAAGGGGAAAAAAGGGGAAAGAAGAAAGGAATTAGATGGCTTCTGACTATCCCTAAACCCTTTAAAGGATACAGCGGTCCCACCGACAGAGGCTGCCGCGGGCCCACGAGAAACCGTGGCAGGGGCCCGTCATCGGGTGTGTCACGGAGGGACGGGCCAAAAAACCAAGCGACGGGCGCGCCAAAATACAAGGAACGCAAGCGGAGGGGAGGGACGTCGGGCCAGGGAAATTGACTGGAGGGAAACTCGCTGTCGGGCCTAGGGAAAATCGCTGGAGCAATTCGTCGTCCCACGGCAGCCCTATGCGAATCGGGCTCCGCGCGGTGTTCCCTGTGCCGCGGAGGGAAACTCACTCTCAGGCAGCCCACGCCAGCCCTATGCAAATTGGCCTCCGCGTGAGCGGGAGCGGGAGGAGGAGCAGGGGCGGGAGGAGGAGCGGAAGCTGGACAAAGACTGGGAGCGGGAGGAGGAGGGGGACGATGATAAGGAAGAGAAGGTGAGGAAGCGGAGGAGGAGAAGGAGGCGGCCGCAGAGGTGAGGAGGAGGGAGAAGAGGAGGAGCAGGTGGATGTAGGGAAGAAGGATGAGTTGGGGTGTAACACCAAGGTCGTACTCACACTAGAACTTGGGAAGGAGCGGGAGGAGGAGCGGGAGGAGGAACGGGGATTGTTGTTAAGCGGTGTGAAAGGGAGGACGTGCGCGCGCGCGCGTGAGAGAGAGAGAGAGAGAGAGAGAGAGAGAGAGAGAGAGAGAGAGAGAGAGAGAGAGAGAGAGAGAGAGAGAGAGATATGTGTGTGGGTGTGTGTGTGTGTGCGCGTGTGTGTGTGTGTGTG